ATACACGCATACAGTAGCTCAGAGCATACACGCATACAGTAGCTCAGAGAGGCAGCTGCAAGCATCAAACAGAGCGAGTCTGGATAAGGATGCAAAGCAGGAAAGGGGTGTGAATGGGGACATGCATCCCTACACTGGCCAGAAGCCACGCAGCTCACGGCTTCACCACTTACAAAAACCTATGCTCTTTTAGAGCTGGAAAGGATCGCCCAGCGATCCTTGCTTTACTGATGGAGAAGCAGAAACTCAGGGAGAGAGTAACTTGTCCCAATGGAAGCAGATCTGGGAAAGACTCTCATGCTCCTGACACTAGAGCCATTGCACGGCTCTGCCTTCTAAGGAAACATATTGGTAGCAGCCAGGCCACGGAATTTCCAAGTCCGCGGTCGGTCTCCTGCTACTGAACTGATCTCCTGGAGGACAGTGCAAGCTCTGTAGTTCTAGTTCAAGGTTGCCTCCCCGGCGCCCCTGTTCTTGTTCCCATCTCCTTTCTTGCCCTACGGTGACAGGCTAACTCTTGTGTGGCTCTCAACTCTTACTGTCCTCTCGCCCCACGACTGGATGTGAATCGAGCCGCAGGGTTTGATCTCTGCGGACTTCCCTTCCTGTGTGTCCCCTCAGATCATGCGTGGCCAACAGCCATCTCAAGGGAGAGGTAGCCCATGCCTCCCTCCCTCCCCACATCAACCTCTGATGATGAAGACTGCCCAGACAGTTAGGAGATCCACGAGGAACAGCAGTCACCTATCACCTTGTAAAGTCCTACCACATTGTCAGTAATATGCTGGCCAATTTACATACATTGTCTCCTTTAATCACTACAAAATCCTATAAATCGCGAGTTACTGTCTTCAGTTTATATGCCGACAAGGACGCTGAGACTTTAAGAGGTCAATGATGTACTTAAGCAGTTACGTAGTAAAACTGAGTTTCACACTCACCCCAATCCCAGGATTTTGATAAGTAAGCACACAATCTTTCATTCTCATTGGTAGAGAGATAAGAGTATGTTAGCTCAAGTTAAGGAAGGATCTTTCTAGAAAATCCCATCCCTGGTGGCGTAGTCAGTTATGTGCAATGAGCTGCTAGTTGCGTGGTCCGCAGTTCTAATCCATCGATTGCTCCAAGGGAGAAAGAGGAGGCTGTCTGCTCTGGTAGAGGTTATTAGTCTTGGAAACTTAAAGGGGCAGCTCTCCTCTGTCTTATGGGGTGTCTCCGAGTTGGAATGAACTCAGTGGCAGTGGGTTCTAGCTAAAACCCATCACTAAGATAGACTACCTTTGTACCTTTAAAGACATCACCTTTCTCACATACACCCCAGAGCTTCTCCGCCTTCCTCATGGAGAAGAGATGGATCCAGGGGAAAGGTTGGAATTCCCCCTAAATGTAAACGTGTGCACTAAACAGGCAGAAGAATTGAATTATTCCTTACTCAGAAGGGGCCCTACCTCCACCTGTAGACTGCTTTTGGGAAAGCTCCAGGAAGCTCCTGTTAACTAATCATGACTTTCTTAAAAGAGAGAGAGAAAAAGTCACACGGAGGGGAAATGATTCTTCCTGTCTGTTTCTTTGTCAGTGAGTGTAGGAAGGAACAGGTCAAATAAACATGAAAGGAAGTATCTTCTAAGTACAGATATAACGATGACTACATAGACAACAACCCAAACCAAACCTACTGCCATTGAGATGGTGCCGACCCTACACAACAGGGTAGAACTGCCCTGGGGGCTGCGAGCTGAAGCTCTTTATGAGAGTGGAAAGTCTTGTCTTTCTCCTGTGGAGCGGCTGGTGGTTTCGAACCGCTGACCTTGCCATTCGCAACCCAACGTGGAACTGTTACGCCACCAGGGCTCCTTATGCATGTATATCTACACACATGTAAACCTATGTGTGTGTATGTTTACTAAAAAGCACCCTCATTTTGTCTCAGCAGATGTCAATAATCTGCCAACCTATTTGGCATTTACCTAATGGCCAGCTAGTTGCTAGCTAATGAGCTGGGCTCTAAGGATGTTGCAATGACTGAGATGCTCTTGCTGAAGCAGCTCTCCGGCTACAAATGAGATGTTACCTTACACCCAGGAGTCCATAGATACAGAGTGCTGAGAAGGAAACACATTTTACTGTCTAAGTTTTTGTTCTCAGTTCCAAGGAATTTGTCACGGTATGACTAGTGGATATTTTATAACATACATATTACTATTATTACTCAGCATGGCTCATCTTACCTTGATCTTTCAGTGGGACTGATAAAGAATTCTGCATTATGAAGGATTTGACTTGAATAGTACCTTTCCTAAAAATAATCAAGGACAAATAATAATTAGCAAATGTTTGAGATGCCAGGTTAATGGATAGTAAAAGACATTTCTTTACTACAATTTTTAAGCTGCTTGTGGGTCTAATTTTTAAGTCTTTCTATTTATAACAATATGAACAATAAGAAATGAGTCGAGCTATTCAAATACTTCTTGTTGTCTTTGCATCTTTCTCCACAGGATTTTACGGTATCTCCGGAAATGGCTTTGTATCAGGATGCAATGACATTTTGCCAGTGGACCTTACCTGCATCTCTGCCTTCAAAGAATGAGGAAAACATGCAATGAGGCAAACCCGTTTCCCCCAAAATTCCCTGCTTGAGAATTAGGTTTCCAATAGTCTGTTTAGGATGAAATAATGGAAATGTTTAAGGAATATGATAAAAGGTAATGCACGAATCATACCGTCACCTGATGAAATACAGCGTGGTCATTCAAGGTCATCGTGCAGAGTGTATAGCACTGTGACACTGTTGAAAATACAGTGCATTGGATACACACACCACATAGCCCCCACACGAGGGTTACAGCTACACACAAAGGAGGGGAAAGTCACAGCACAACTAGAATGCTCATTGTCACTGGGCTGGCTGTCGGAATGCACTGCTGTTGGGTGCTGTCACATTGATCTTGACTCACTGTCACCTTGGATGGCAGAGTCATGCTGGCCCGAGCAGATCACTAGGACATTTGTCCTGAGGAGTAGCTGGTGGGTTTGAACCCCTGACCTTTTGGCTAGTGGCTGAGGGCCGATGGAATTAATGGTGTTCCCCAGCGCCCTCCCCCAATTTTAACTATCTTCCAAATTGCCTGTGAACCCCGAGGGCGTACTGGGCTACACAGTGGGCTGCTAACTGCAAGGTCTGCAGTTCGAAACCAGTGGGCACTCCAAGAAAGACAGGGCTTTCAACTCCCGAGTGCAGTCAACAGTTTTGGAAAACTCACAGGAGCAGTTCTACCCCGTCCTATGGGGTCACTGTGAGTCAGCATGGGCTCTATGGCAGGGAGTTTGATTTTACTTTTTTTTTTGGACACCAGGTTACAAAAGACTGGTTTCTAATAAGAGGAAAGGAGTGAGGAGAGCCATATCATGTCATGCCGGGAGGAAGGGCCTTGGTGGAGAATCCCAGTTCCGGAGGAGAGAGTAGCAAACACAATGACAGGGTTCCCCAGGCGGGTTCCCCTGGGTTCTAACTAGCTCAGGCAAGCGAGGAAATGACCCAGGGGCAAGGAAAAATCCCGTGTTCTATACTCACACCAGGCTCTGAATAGTGCCTGTTCCCATTATCCTGACTGAACAACCCTGTAATGCACAAGGCAACGGGTCGTGGACACAGAAGGTCTTGTCTTGACTGCTGGCGTTGTTTCACTCAACAAGTCTTACAAGCAAAACCCAAAGGACGATCTTAACTGTGCACTAGAACAAAGCTCAAGAAGATTTGTAGAAAAATGTTTTTTACAAAATCTACCACCCAACGAAGTTCATAATGTCTCTCTTGCAATAATAATGATTAAGCAAGAAAAGCAAGAAATGTGACTCTCAGTTAGATATGTAATGAACCAAAATTGATCCCAAACTGATACAGATGTTAAAACAAGCATGTACAGACAGTGGGTGTAGAATGCTATTTTGAAGTTTAAAGAGTGCAAAGGTAAACAAGATAACATAGACCCTAATAAAGCCACCAGAGTTGAAACTACAATGAAGACCATGAAAACTACCCTGGAATGGATTGGTGTCATAATAAATATGCATCACTGAGAAAACACTAGTTCCCGGAAGGTGTTGCAGCAGAAACTCTCCAGAACGAAGCGCAGTGTCGGTGACCGTTCAGCCCTCTCACACACTCGTGATGGGGAGGGGAGGAACGGAAGGGTCCAAGAATCACAGGAAGAAACAAGGGCAGACTTTTCCCCCAAATGGGGTGAGCTATACACAGACGGATGCAAAATGCCCAGCGCAACCAAAGCACAAGAAGCATGAAGAAACTGCAGCAAGGGACGCTAGGAGAGGACTGCTCCAGGCCCCTGATGAAAGAAAATCCCAGACAGTTGGGGAACAGCAACAGAACACACGGCAGGAGACTGCCTCGGACGACCACAGACGTCTCGTTGGAAACAATGCAACTTGAGAAGATCATGGGACAACATTTTTAAAGAAAGAAAGAAGAAAAAAGCAGTAACAACAATAGCAAAACACCCAACCCCACAACAGTTGTCAATCTAGACTTCTATGCCCAGAAAAAGAAAAAAGACAGACAAAATGAAGATGGTTTTGTACAGACACAGCGGAAAGACTTCATCACGAGCCCAGCACAATATAAGAAACGTGAAAGGCTATTTCTTCAGACAGAGTATATGTGATATGAGCAGGTAGTAATACAGATCGCTATAGAGAATGAATACTGGGAATTAGAACTACATGGAAAGTATACAACTTATTTTTCTTAATGTTTAAATTTCTTTACCTGATTAACTATTTAAATAAATAATAACAACGTGATATGGGGGCTTATCACATAGGTAAAAGAGAAATGTGTGGCAACAACAAGATACATACAGGTGGATGAAATTGCAAAGCGAAGTCAGTAGAGGAAGGGCAGTCTCTCCAAGAGACACTGAGGTGATCGGACACATTTGCCAAAATAAAAATAAAAAGCCAAAGCCAAATCAAAACAAAAGCCAGCCCAACATACAGCAAAAACAAGCGAGCGAAAGGCTGAGCCCTACGTCACAGCATACATGACACGACTGCAACAAGTTCCTGGGGAACTCCGTGATCGTCTCACTGCATTTTTCGATGACAAGTCCCCTTGCATAAACACATATTCAAAAATGTCCTCAAAGAAACCACGTTGACCTGCCTTAAGCAAAGTCATCTTAGCAAAAGCACATGCCAAGAAGTGGACTGTTAAGAAGGTTTACTCTTCAAACGGCGACACGGTTCAGAAAAGGAAAGGACAACCACAGTGATGGAGAACATGCTTGTAAATAGTGTCCATGATTTAAAAAAAAAAACTGCATCCAGAATAAAGAGAGGACTTGTAAAACTCACTAAGAAAATAAACCACCCAATTACGAAATAGGCCAAGGATGTGAACAGACACTTCACAAAAACAGACACAGCGCACAAAGGAAGACATGAGAAGGTGCTCAAGATTGTATGTTATTTGGGAAATGCAAATTAAAATGAGGGTTATCATTAGGTACCCATTAGAACAAAACAAAAATAGCGGCAAAAAACTAACTATACTAAGTGTTGATGAGGATTACACACTGTTAAACCCCCCCAAACACATTCCTATAGGTAGAGTTGAATTCACAGTGACATGACAGGACAGAGTCCAATGGTCTCAAAGGTTTCCAAGGTGATCCATCTTTACAGAAGCAGACTGCAGCATCTTTCTCCCTTGGAGCAGCTGCTGGGGTTAAACCTCTGACCTCTTGGTGAATAGCTGAGTGCTGAACCACTGCCCCACCAAGACTCACTATACATTGCTAAGAGAAATGTACATGGTACAAACATTTTGAAAAACAGTTTGGCATTTTCTTAAGAAGTTAAAGATGTACTTACCATATGATCTGGCTAATCCCGTGCTGGAGATTAGTCTTAAGGGAAGAGCAAGCATATAGCCATACAAACACTTACACCAAAGATAGTCATAGCAGCTTTATGTGTAGTAACCCCGAATCAGAAACAACTCAAATGTCTATCAATAGGTGCATGGATAAATAAGCCATACCCATACAATACACTACTATTAGGCAATGTAAAAGATCAAACTATCGATCCACACTGCACTCTGAATGAATCTGAACTACATTATACTCTAAGGGAGATGCCAGGTGTAAAAAGAGTTCATAGTGTGTGATCCCACTTCTATCATATTTTAGAAGAATGTGAACTATCCAGAAACTCTATAGAAATCAAGACAATAGCTGCCTGGGGTCAGGGAGACAAGGAGGGCTGAAAGGAAGAGATGGGAATAAGCACACGGAGCAGACAGACATCGATCCATTAGAGATAAAGGATACGAGAGATAATGTTGATTGTGCTAATGGTTTCTAGGATGTACACACATATCAGAAGTTATCACGTTGCACTTTAATAGTGTGCAATTTCCTGAAAGTCAATATAGTACAGCTGTTAAAAAGTCAAAGGCAATATTGGGGAGAAAATTGAACACTTACAATCGGCATATTAAAAAAAAAGAAAGAAGAAAAAAAAAAAACCCTCACTTACATTGAACTGATTATGACTCCTAGTGACCCCATAGGGCAGGGTAGAACTGCCCCCTTGGGTTTCTGAGACTGTAACTTTTCTTCTTTTTTTTTTAACAAGAGTAGAAAGCCTCATCTCTCTCTCTCTCTTGAGGAGCTGCTAGTGGTTTTGAACTTCTGATCTTGTGGTATGCAGCCTATTTTGTAACCCACTGTTCCTCCAATAGGCATATAGAACCCATTCATTTATTAACCAAGTACTGACTTTGAGGTGCTACTGTGTACTCTGGATACAGTAAAGGCATATTAGATATGAATCTTACTGTCTGATATGAAATAAATTCCAGTGTCTCCCACGGGATGGCTAGTGGGTTTGAACCACCAACCTTGCAGTTAGCAGTTCAGCACTTACCCTACAGGGCAGCCAGCACTCCTTAAGAAGAATGAGAAAACACTCCACCACAGAAATTAGCAAATGACTTTAAACTAGTAATTTTTAGATTGTTCAACCACACTAATATAGAAATACAAAATTTAATATAAAATTACTTGGCCTGTTAATTAGCAATAAAAAAGCCCCTAACACTAGGCAAAGTCTGAGGAAAAGTGTATACTCATTTACTACGTGTAGGAGTATAACTGATACAAACTCCTTGGGGAGTACTTTTGCAATAAATATTTTGAGCCTTTATTTAGGTAAAATACACATAACAAAGTGTTTGCCAGTTTAATAATTTCTGCATGTATAATTCAGTGA